GGTGGCGTGTGTGTTTTGGTGTTCGACACAGACGCACCTCTTTGGGTGTGGGTGGTGTGGAAAGGGATGGTGTCGCTGCAGCACATGGGCAGACACGCGCACAGGGGGGGGAACAGGCACATGAACAGGAAGAGGCCCACGGAAGGGCGGCTGTTGCTGCTGGGGGTGTGGATGTTGCTGAGGAGGCATCTTGGGCGATGGCAGATGGGCGGGATGGGCCACGACAGAAGGCGGCTTGACGAGGGGCGCCTTCATGACCACAGGAGGCCGCTGATGGATCACCACACGTGTGTGAGGCGGGTGTGGGTGTGATGGCGGAGGGGGCGACAGCGACCGCACCACCGGCACCGTCACGGGGGATGGAGATCTTGCTCTGGGTGGCGGGGGGGAGAGGCTTCTCACCACGCCCACACCCACACGAGTCACACCAGCACCAGCAGCACCCTTGACACGGGGCGGCTCCTTCCTCGGCGACATTGCGCAGCACACCGACGCTCCCTGTGGTTTCTTGTGCTTGGCAGCTGGAGGCGATTTGGGTGAGGGTGGGCAACAGGTGAAGCAGCGCGGCTCGAGTGACTGGCCTCTGCGGAGGGACAGGTGTGGGGGCGGCGAGCGGATGTGTGTGATGATGCGGGGCATGGAGGTGGTGGGGCGGAGGGGGGGCGAGTAGATGATCCGCGCGCCGCTGCACACACACACACACACACACACACACAGAGAGAGAGAGAGATGCATAGCGGTTGTGGGTCGGTTGTGTGTCAACTGTACGTGTCATGTGACTCGAGTTGGTCGACTTGTCGTGCCATCTCGACCGTCTCGTTGTGCAGCTGCTGCATGTCGGTGTTGATCTGACGCAGACGGGCCAACGCCTCAATCAGCAACGCACGCTCGGGCTCCAGCGTCTTCACCTGAACAACAAGGCTTGGCATCTCGCTCTCTGTCTTAGTGTGTGTGTGTGTCTTCACTCACCTGTTCCTCCAGCCCGTCTTTCTCCTCCTTGATTTTGGCCATTTCCTCCATCAGCTTGGCGACCTTTTCCTCCAACTCGGCCTTCTCACTTTGCAGCGCCTCCATCTCATCACCAAACTCGCTCACAGCTGCACACATCAACACACACACACAGGGAGAGAGGTATATACATATATATATACGTGGGTGTGGGTGGCGTGTGTGTATGCAATGCTTGCCTGGTTCGCCTTCCTTTGGAGGGGCCTTTTTGGTCTTGGGGGTCTTCTGCTGCTTCTTGGTGAGCTTGTCCATCTCCTCCTTGATGCGGCTGTTCTCAACCTGCAGATCCTTCACCTGCACGCAGCACGCATGACAATCGACCGCTGTTCTCTCTCTCTCTCCTTATTTTGTTGTGTGTAGGAGAGTGCCTGTGTGTGGTATTTGTTCTTTTCGCGTCTCAGGTTGGCGATTTCCATGGCGGCGGCGGCCGACCGCTCACGCTGCTTCTTGTCGTCTACCGGGGGCTTCTCCGCCTGAACCAACCATTGACCCAACGAATCAAACACAGATATATGCACGATAGAGACACAATGCGCCATGCTGCCCGAGGAAGTCAAACCTTCTTTTCAGGTTTGACTTCCTGTGTCTCCTCCTCCTTCTTTTTCTTCTCCTCCACTGCTGACTTCCACGTCAGACGGGACGGCCTACACACAACACAGACACACAGACACACAGAAACATCGAAATGAGTCTCTCTTTCTCTGTGGAGACCAGCCATTGTCTGACCTGGCCTTTGCCTTGGCTGCCCTCTTCTCCTGAGCTGCGAACCGAGTGGCCAGCACTTTCTCCTTCTCATCAGGTTTCTCCTTCTCTGGCAATACAGCAGCAGCGGCAGCTGCTGCTGCTGCTGCTGCTGGTGCCGGCTCCTGCTGTGTTGCTGGCTCTTTTGGCTCCTCCTGCAGTACCACGTAATGCATGGAGGCGGTGTGTGAGTGTGTGGGTGGAAGGGGGGGAGGGTGACTGACCTTTTTCTCCCCCTCTGCTGGTTCTTTCTCTTCCTCCTTGATCATGTGCTGTCCGAACTGCGCTATCATGAAGGGCGCGCCCTCCTCGCCCGAAGCGTCACTCGTAAATGACGCTGCACCACACACACGCACACGCAGAGAATGAATGAATAAATGAATGAGTGGATAGGAAAGACACCTCTTCCTGCGCGCAGTTCGCTGCCGAGTGATCTGTATCTGTCGCCGCCGCCGCCGCCCCGGCTGTTGGCCCGCCGACCGGTGGCGGCCTTCTTGCTGGCCGGGCTGGCGTCCTCCTCCTCGCCAACTGCGTGCAGGCCATGACCTGTTTATTGGGTTTGGGCAGGACAGAGAGAGACACACAGAAAGGGACAATGGAAGGAAGAGGGACCATATGCGTGCATTCTATTGAGGACTGACTGACCTAGTCCAGCGAGAGTGGTGTGTTTGCCCGAGATGATGGACGAGGTGGATCCCATCTCGCTGCGCTTCAGCAGCTTTTTCTGGCTGTCCAATATCGCCTTCAACTCACCCTGCATACCAACATGACACACATGGCCTGGCCATGTCTCTCCCTCTCTCTGTCTGTGTGTCTGTGTGTGTGTGATGGGTATGGAGATCAATACGTTTTCGCTTTCGAGCAGTGAAGATTTTTCTTTGAGTACGGCGTTGTCCCTCTCCAGCTCCTGCAGACTCTCCTGCATCAACGCCAGACGCTGGCTCCTGGAGACACATACACACAAATGGATGGATGTCTGTGTGTGTCTTGGTTGTGTCGGGTGTGTGAGCACATTTTCTCAAAGTCTTCGTTTGTTCGGGGTGATTTCGGTGCTCGGGCGCTGAGAGGCACCTCTCCCTCGCCCTCCTCCTTCGCCTGCACACGAAGCCAAAGGGTGGCATGCAATGCAGCCGCGTGTGTGTGGTAGACAGATAGTGGTGAGAGTGCGTGTGTGCGTGCCTGTGACTCCTGCAGGAACTTGATCTCTGCGTGGGCATCCATCAGCTTCATCTGTAGACACCACACGCAGACACACACACACACACGTATGCACCTGTAAACAGACAGGCGAGAGGCGAGGGGACGAGCATACAGACAGACAGACCTTCAGACTGGCGAGGTCCTTGTGGACCTCCTCCGAGGCACGCGCCAATGTCACCTTCTCGCGACGGGCCGCACCCAGCTCCTATACACACACACATGACATACACACACGAGTACACGCACACAGTGCAGAGGCTAGGCATATATCTGACTGTACGTACGTCTCTGGCGTTGTCGAGTTCCTCGATGAGCTCAGAAGCGCGTTCAGCGGCGTCACGGTACTGAGCAGCCTCCTCCTCAGCCTGTACCAACCAATACACACAGACAGACAGACAGACAGGCAGACACGTGGCAGACGGCTGTCAGCGTCTGTTTACTGACTGACTTCTTGGAGTTGTTCTCTGAGGTCTTGAATCTCCTGAACCATCTCGTCCCACTCCTCCTCAAACGCAGCGGGCTGACATGCATACAACCAAGCAACGCACAAAGAGAGACACACACATCACACACAGAGAGAGCGCCTCAGGGTGGTTGTTATAGAGAAAGGTTTGTTTTGGTACCGGCATGCCCTGCCGGCCGATGCGTGCGGCGGTGATGGATGCCATGCTGTCGGCGCGGGTCATCGTCAGCTTCTTCTTCAACGACTCGATCTCCTCATCCTGCACAACACACACACACACACACATACTTATACGTCGTGTCTCTCTCTCTCTGTCGGACTCTGTGGTTTAGACACGTGCCTTTCTCTCGAGTTCGCTTTCGAGGTCGGCCACGACGTCCTCCAAGAAGGACACCTGGCCAGGCCACCCACCCATCGGCCGACCGATACACAAAATGTGGAAGTGGGCATACCATGCCCAGCCCACTCAGGTACCTGATGTTTGAGAGTTGGTACGGAGTAGCCCATGTCATCGTCGGCCGCGTGCTTCGGACGGTTGTCGAAATGATGAGTGCCTGGCCACATACCATCCATCCATCCATCCACCAAGCTACGTACGTACCTTGTTTGGTGATGCCGGTTGCAATGTCGGCTTCAAACTCCCCCGGACCGATGCTGGCCGCACCTTGACGGGGGGCAATGCCGCGCTCCACCACACGCTGGTCGCCACCCGCACCCCCTGCTGCCGCCGCTGCTGCATATCATACACACACGGAGACAGAAAGGGAAAGAGGACGCACCGCTACGCTACAATCAGAGAGAGGGAGAGGGAGGGAGAGAGACGCGTATGTACCTTCTTGAGCTTCCGCTTCTTGTTCCACAGGCACATATGCGGCGGGTTCGGTGCGGCTTCGCTGCGTCTCATACACTCGGGCAGCCTCGCCCTCTCCCTGGGCTGCCTCCCCTGCTTCAAGCAACATGGCCTGTCCGGCCTCCTTGTGGGTGACGGCCATGGGTGTGTCGATGGAGATGGTCCGGGGCACTCCTGCTGCTGCCCCAGCCTGCATACACACCAGGCCTGTGCTGGGATGGATGTATGTATTTGGGTACGTGGCAGGCATGTAAGTTGACCGATTCTACGAGTCTTGGCATCATGAATGGCTGCCCCACCGAGAACCGGCGTGCGGCGCTCTTGTCCAGCCCCGCACGCACCGCCACGACGGCAGGCTGACTAACCGCCCCCACGCCCGTCAGCGCCTGAAGTGATGGATACACACAGACAACACAAACACACACCAAGGGAAGGGAATGAACGGAAGGACACAGAGAGAGAGGAGAGGGCATCGCCATCCGCCCCAACACGCCAGCTCCACTCCACTTACCCCCAGCGGCACGGGAAGGTCTGCCCCGAGCGACTTCCTCCTCAGCGTGCGAATGTAGCTGTCGGCCACGGTCGACTTCTTCTTGACGGCCGCAGCGGCGGCCTCGTCCCTCTTGCCGTCATCTCCCCCGGTCTCGCTCCCTGAACCGCTCGACGCGCTCATGACTCCTCAGATATGAGGGGCAAGGAGAGAGGGCGAGAGAGTGAGCTTTCTGTTGGGGGGATGGCCAATTGTGTGTATTGGCAAGCCCCTCGACGCTGAGGGGAAGGAACTGAGGGAAAGGCGGGGCAATCGATCTGTTTGCGAGCTAAGATTGGGGACAAGGTGACGGCCTGACGTACACACAATCCCTCCCCACATTAATTACTGTCTGTATCATGTACGTACGCTATGCACATCAAAAGCATGCAGCATGGCAGGCCCTGGGCACTCTATGGCTAGATCAGGTCAGGTCGCGGCCAGCACGTCGCCCCAATACCTGCAGGCAATGAAAGAAGGGAGGCAAGGATGGACGTGTTTAGTTGTGTATGCTGTGCGTTTGTGTGCGGTGCGTCCCGTACCGTACCTGTCAGCGAGAGCCTCATCTTCGTCCCAGAGCAGAAACCCCGGCCGGCCGTCACAGTCGTCAAACTCATCCTCTTCCTCCTCGTCGGCAAGATGACCACCGCCTGTGTACCATACCAGGCACACCACGCGTTGGTTGACAGGACAGCACCCACAAAGAGACAGATGGATGGACAAACACACACGTGGACAGATCGGATGAACGAATGGATGAACAGAATTATATTACCTACCGTCTCTGTTGCCGTCGCGTGCTCTCCGGGCGATCTCCGAGGCCAATATCTCACTGATACACACACACACACACACACACGCGGATACACAGAGGGATCCACAAACTGACACAACACGTGTGTGTGCATCATGCATGATGTGTGGGCGGACGGTACCCCTGCTCCTCCCTGCGGACGATCTGGCACCACTCCTACACACAAACGTTAGTCACACGGCATGACATTCATTGCCTCGTGTATACATATTGGATGGATGGATGTGTGTGGTGTGTGCAAACGTAACGGACGTACGATGTTGTGGACTTGGTACTTGAGCTCTTTAACCTTGTCGGCCAGCTGCGGATCGAACTCAACTATGATAGACAAACTGTCGCTCGCCTGTTGACGACAGACAGCACACACAAACAGAGACAACACACACACACAGAGAACACACAGATGGATGGGTGATGGGTGGGCTCTCTCTCTCTCTCTGTGTGTGTGTGTGTGTGTGTGCCTGTTTGCGTATGGCGAGGTTGGAGTCTCTGAGTAGGTCCAGCAGGAACTGAGATATCTCGCTCTCGCGCATCACACGATCCCTGCCAGCCATACATGAATGGTCCACACAATCAGCCAGACAGATGCACGGTCCACGGCCCCGTCGGAGTGTGTGGTGTGCCTGGTTTGGTCGTGCATGAGGAAGCAATGGAACAGATACAGCAGCTGCAGCACTATCTCATCGTCCTCCTGACACACACACACACACACACACACACGTGTGCATTGTCTTTTCTCCCTCTGCGTGCGCGTGGATGGATCGAGGTGCATACCTACCTGTTTGGCCGTCAGGAGCTCCTGGAAGAGTGTGAGGAATCTCGGTGAGGCCAGGTGCACCATGGCCTCGCTGTCGTTGGCAGCTATGGTGCCGCATAACATCACACACCTGCAGACACTCATTCATGCCATGGATGGACGCAATGCACACACACACTCACACACATGGATGTGTGTGTGTGCGCGTGTGACTGTACTCGAGTACGATGTCGTCTATGGCTTCGTTGATGGCACCGGTGAGCGGCGAGAAGGCAAACGTCATCCCACAGCCTTCAGACAACAACCTAGTAGGTGGCACACACATGGGATGGGAGAAAGGGGAGGGGCAGACAGAAACCCGAATTGGTCTTTACTTGTGAATGAGGTCAATGAGTCCCTCTAAGTCGAGCCAGCGGATCTCCGCCACACTCATGCTCGACAGCGTGCCCAACAATTCTACCTAATGACACACACACAAGGATGTGTGTTTGGGGGGGAGAGCGCTTGGGTGTTTGTGCGTACCAGCAGTTCCGGCGCGTCTAGAGATGTCTGTGCGAGGCGGGCAAACTCCTTCAGCCAATGGGACATCCTGCACACACGCACACATAAACACACCACACAGTCATGGCGAGGGTGTATGTCTCGACCCGACCGTATGGACGACTTGTTGAGGTGCTCGTAGAGCTTTGGTCGCGACACATCATGCCGAGCCACGTTGCGCACAACCTACACACACACACAGGTACCATACCCACGCGTGAGAAGAGCCTCGGTGTGTGTGTGGCGCGGGGAGAAGTAAGTAAGTGTCTGCGGACCTTGCACAGCAACGCGTCACGCGTCTTCATCACGCGATCCACCACCTACCATTCCATTCCGCGGTGGCACATGACATCCCCATGCGTGTGGTTGCATACTTTGTCCATGAGTTTTGTGTCGCACATAATCTCCGCTGCTCGGGGGTGCGTCGACAGATTCACTGCCACCGACACCAAATCCCTGCAGGCAGGCCATGGCATCATACGCACACAATACACGGATGGATCCCGTCCGATGATGGAGGGGAGGTGTGTGTGGGTGTGTGTGCCTGTCAGCTGTGCTGACCTGCCGACTTTTTGCTCTGGGAAGTGGATGACCAGCTGCAGCAACATCGGGATCTGACCAATATGCACACAGCCGCACCGCACACAGACACACAGACACACAGACACACAGCAGATGGAATGGATGCACACAACACATGGGGGGATGTATCTGATGGATGTGTGCTCATCGTATGTATCGTCTTGCTAACTTACGGCGTCGTTGTGGTAAGTGAGCAGCGATTTGCACCGGTCGTCCTGCGTCAGCTGAGACAACACACGCAGCGACACCTATGCGCCGGCCATACACACAGACACACAAACATACAGATAGAGAATCACACAGCACAGAGAGGGGATCTGATCTATTGTGCATGTGGGTACTCACTTGTCTGTATCGTGGTTCCTTGAGCAGGTCGGTGAGTATCTTCAACACACTACCACGACCACTAGCCGTCCCCTCAACTGCACATCACATCCACACACCACACCCATCACACACAACAACCGCACTTAGCCCACGAATCCTCTTCATGTGTGTGTGTGTACTTGTCTGTCTGTCAGTCCCTCACCGAGTTCCACGCGCACATCGGGGTCGAATGCCAGGTTGTAGAGCAGCCGACACGCCAGCAGCAGCACAAAGGGGGAGGTCTGTGTGCCTCCCCCAACACACGACACCAGCCGCAGCAGCTTCGGCAACACACCTGCACAGCACACGCACACACACACAGATGAAGTGAAGAAGGGCGGGCGACTGACTGCCTTACCAGCTCGGCGCATTTCGTCTTTGTTCTCGCCGATGATGGCCATCTTCTTCAAATACGTCTGAATGCATGGCAAGCATCAAGACACATACACACATAACATACATAGACATAGGGTGCGTCTGTCTGCGTACCCTACCAGGGCGACCATGGTGAGCTCCACATGCGTCCACGGCGATCGGTCCAGCACGGGCACCAGACAGCGTATGAGGGAGTGGTGTGCCACCAGCTGCCTCTCCACACCGATGTCCTCACTGAGGTGCAGGAGGGTCAGGATGGCGGAGTACACCAAACGGGACTGCCGCCGCTGCACACGGCTGAACCGACGCTCTTCCAATTCCAGCTGCCCACCGGACACACAGGACACACACAAATCGGAGAGGGATGAGAGAGAGGGTGGGGGGCATACCATAGCATATGGGTTTATGGCATGCCATGCGTCCCGTACCATACCTACCGCCTTTTGTTTGTCATCGTCTGTCATGTCCTTGGTGGTGTCGACGATTCCCTGACGCTTCTGGCGCAACTCCTGGATTGGATGGACACATCGATCACATACAATACATATGCACACACACATAAATAAACAAGCTGCAGGCAGGCAGGCAGGTGGACATGATGGGCGCGGCGTGTGTGTGCGTGGTCGACTCGACTCAACGGATGTGTGAGTGGGTCGGATCAGTCCAGTCAGTCAGTGTGTCCCTACCGTACCCTACCTGCAGCCGCACCAGCCACCGCTTGTTCTCGTACTCGAGCAGACGCACTGTCGACTCGGCCACCTACACACACAGATCCCATCCACACACACAATGAATGGGTTCGTCCCGTCCCGTCCATACGCACACACAGCGATGCAGGCAGGCATGTCTATACCCTACCGTACCTGGTGTGCGTTGAGGAGCGCATGGAGGTCGGTGAAGTGGCTCATGACTAGGAAGATGCCCACCACACACATGGCCAGGTCGGGGGACTTCCGCCCCTCGTCCCGCAGCACCCGCGACAGCACACCAACGATGCTCTCGTGCTCTACCAGATGCACCAACGAGGACGGCGACGCACACAGCGACAGCAACGCACGAGCACCCTACACACCACACACATCGACCACACACACATACACACGTGGGTGGCTGGGTGTGTGAGGAGGGAGGGAGGCTTACGGCGACTTTTTCTTCCATGGCTTCGTCGTAAAGCTTTTCGAGGTAGTCGTCCAGCATCCCCACGTCAGCCAGCGGCAGCTGCAGCAACTCCCCACACTCCCCACCACCCCTACCACCACCGCCATAAGCGTCACCGCGCTGACCCATGTCAGTCATGAATGGCACGGCACACACATGTCAGTCAGTCAGCGTCAAAGAACGTGTGTGTGGGTGTCCGTCTATGGACACAGGCACCTGTCTAGAGGAGGGTCCGGCGGCTGCAGCTGGCTGTGGCTGCGATGCGGGTGGTATTGGCGGTGCGATGAGTTGTGTGAGTAGGTCCTCGACCTCAGTGGTGCGTGAGGGGTGGATGATCTTGGACCTCTCCACAATCTCACGCGCCACGACCGGCACGTTGTCCCGGTGCAAATCAGACACATCCACCTGGATTGATTCATTTGATTGAATGCACACAACAAACACAATGCAATGCACCCACGTCACGCCTGTGTGTGTACGTGCGTGTGTGTGGATGATGTGTGGGCTGAAGAGCATACCTACCTACCTTGATCTTTCTCTGCCCCGGTATGCTCTCACTGCGGGTCACCTCTCCAGAAGCATCACAATACAGCGTTTCTGATGAATGATTCAATGAATGGAACAGATGAGATGACGCTCACACAATCATGTCTGTCTGTGCGTCTATGTATGTGTGTCTGTGTATGTGTGTGTGTGTACCTACCGGTGACGTAGTGGACGAGTATGGCGTTTTCTTGGGCATCCAATTCGATGTGCCCCGGCCGCACCTTCCGACGAGTGCCGGCCGACGGGCTGTTGGCGCTGGCAGGGGAGGACATCTACCTCATTGTCACGCAGGCGGATCCGCTTTTTTGGCGCGATCAAAGGACTGTAAACAGGCCACCTGCCTGTTTTCATGACTGCGTTGCATTCATCCCACAGTCATGCCGAATGACAGTCAAAAATCTCTACAAGGCATGCCATGCCGCGAATGAATGCAATCCATCCACCCATCCATCCACCCAACCAACCAACCAACCAACCACTGCACTGGCTCGTCAGCCACGCAACAACACCGACCATCTATCTGTCCGAAAGAATGTCAAAAGGAGGCCTTCCTTCGTTTCTTTCTAAGTGTGTCGGCAGACAGTGAGGTGATCTGCACATCAAGTGCAAGTGACAAACACGAATGGAGGGAAGGGGAAAGAAAGGAAGACCGACGGACGATTGCACACAGGAAAGACAGACATTCAGACAGGCAGGAGAAGGACACGTAGACAGGCAGGGAGTCCGCAAGTCAGTGTGTCCCGAGGTTTCCTGTAAGCACAGGGTGTGACACACCAGTGCGTTGATAGTCGACTCGCTCATTGCAGTCACACACACACAGGTTACTCCTGGTGTCTGTCGTGTCGATAACCGACCCACCTGTAGGATCGTGCCATCTGGGTCCCCTCTCGCCGTAGATGGCCTCCCAACTTATGTCCGTCGGCAATCCCTGCACCTGACACCACACATCGAATATTGCCCCCACCCCACCCCACACACACATTGTGTATGTGTTTATGCTAAGTGTGCTTACTCGTCGTTTTTCCTCCTTCCAGAGGTCCTTGTGTGAGATCTCGCTGGGGTGGTACCCGTGGCCCTTTCGCCAGCTGTTGGTCAGCGGCTGTATACCTTGACCTGCATTGCATTGCAACCCAATGCAATTGCTTGCTTCTTGTGGTGTATTGTGTGTCATTTATCTATCTCTCTAGCAACGTACCGACTCCGAGGTAGCTCCATCCGTCTGGCAGTGAGGCGTCGACGGCCTCCCACTTCTTCTCCTCATCGGCAGACATAATCTGGTCCAATCGCTCCCTGATGGGATGGATGTAATATATACACACATAAATGACAGACAGACAGATAGAGACACCAAAGCATCCATCCCATCCATGGGGTCTCTCTCTCTCTCTTGGTGTCTGTGCGCCTCACTGACTGTTTGGTTTGTGGGAATCCCCCGAGCTTCACGTGGTCCTCACTCCACCTGCATTGCATTGCATGGGGCCATCCATGTGTGCTGTGCCAAGATGTGATGTGCGTGTGTATGTCTGTCTGTCTGACGTGACGAAGGTAACGTACCCTTGTGCTCTGAGCTGTTTGTATTTGTTGGAGTACTCCCGCATGAAGTCGACAGCCGCAATCCGCCCCTGGGCGTTGTAGAAGCTGGAGGAGAGCCAGTAGGACCATCCTGTGGACGCCACAGTGGAGAAGACCGTTCGGTACTGGTACGGCAGCACCAGCCAGTTGAACAAATTGCACACGCCCCAGTAGCTGCGTTGTCAGTGCAGTGCACAACACACAGGCAAGGATGCACACACTCCACTGACGGATGGGTGGATGTGTGTGGTTGGTAGGTTGTTTACAAGAATGAGGCCTGCCATATGTGGTAGAGGTAGTTCTTGATGCGCTCCTCAGTGGCGATGTACCACTGATGGAATGGACAGACACATCACATAGATACACACACACCACACCACACCACACAGAAAGAAAGACAGGCAGATGGGCGCATCGCATACACACATCCTTACACACACACATTGGTGTGTGGTGTGTGCCTGTGAGGTGAGTGAGTGAGATGCGTGTGGCCCTTCCCTCCTTCCTTCCTCACCTTGACAGTGTCGAAGCTCTGGAAGTTGTTGTCCCAGTACTGTGTGGCGGCCTCGACATAAGCTATGAAGAGGGCGTTGGCGGGCGGCGCTGCGCAAACCGTCGTGATGCACACCTTCTTCAACGCCTGCATCGCATCGCAGCCATGCATTCCACACACACGAATGCAATGGGGGTGGCTGGGAGGGTATGGTATACCCTGACTGACCTCTTTGACTCCCTTTTGTGGCATCAAGTAGTCGGCCAGGCGAAACCAAAAGCTCCAGATCGGCGCGAAACCAATCGCACTGCAGCCAGCCATTGATTTATCACATTATTGTATGTGTGTAGGTATGTGTGTGTGTGATTTGTTTCCTCACTTCCATGAGGTGAGGATGGCGCTTCTCTTGACGCTGAGCTTGAACTCACCAGGACACTCATAACGCTCAGGCGCCCTTTACACACATGAACCACCAACAGCATACACGCCAGCCAGCCAGCCACGTGTGTGTGCGCACGCTTAGGACTCACTGACTCACTCGAAGCTCATTTCGCCGGCCTTTTCCTTGTCAGCGAAAAACAGCCTGTTTGGATTGCTGGGCGAAAAGGAACCCTCCTTGATCTCAGCCTGACGCAACTCCTGCAGGCATAAACACAGACACGCACAGACAGACAGCCAGGCCAGGCACATTAATTAGATGTGGGTGGTCTGGTCTCTCTATCTCTCACACACACACGCCGATTGGGGCGATGGCTGACCTGCCTTCTGTAGGCCCTCCACTTGCTCTCGTGCTGCGCCTGCTGGGCAGCATAGTCCCCCACATACATTACCACACCTGACGTCGCCTGAGTGATTGACAGATCACACGCACACGCACACACACACAATGACCAGGCTCTGTCTTGTTTGTTCATGTGTTTCGTTCCCTCAAGAGGCACCCACCCACCCACCCACCCACCATGTTAGTGAGGACTGGGTGCCTCTTGAGCAAACTGCACACATCGCACACAGGCAAAATACAGACAGACAGACAGACAGGCAGGCGGGCAGGCAGATCCACAGGCACCCTCATAGACTCACACGAGCTGGGCACATCACATCGTACCTGTTGTATCCGCCCAGCACATATGCAAAAGGCCTGGCAATTGCCTGCAGCGTCTTGTTGCGTTGGATCCCCACCACAGCACGCTGGTACGCCACTCCCGCACTCCAGAGAACTGTGCGGAGACCCGCAATGGCTGGATCTGTCATCTCGGCTCGACAAAAGATGAGGACAATTCTAGCGAGCTTTTTCCTTGCTGCGAGCTTTCTGCCTGGAGGGAAAAGGAGACCCGCATGGCGTCCCGTCGTGTCCCTGAGCCTGACGAGCGTCAGTGCCAGGATTTGGTGAATAGAGCGAAAAACAATGGAACTCATGTGAGCGTAGCCGAGGTCAAGGAGATGTGGCAGGTATGCACTCCCGCCCACCAGAAGGCTGGGAGGGAGAGAGGCTGGTAGGGTGGTGTGGTTGTCATGTCATGTTGATGTGGCTTTTTGCGTGTCAGGCGTACAACATCCTCGACGAAAGCGGCGACGGGTGAGTGAGAGAGGGGCCAAGGGTGGGCGGGCGGGCGGATGGATGGAGTCATTCATTCTCTCATGGACAGAGGGAAGACCTAAGGCCATGCAAGCATGAAAGAAGGCTGAATGTATGTGTGTGGGTGTCTGTGTGGATGTGACGTACGTGTTGTGTGCAGGCAGGTGAACCTTCGTGAGTTGCGGGCGGCCATCGTATCGCTTGGGCTGAGTGTTGATAGCGCCGCACTCACCAAGATCATGCAGGTACGCACCGCACGCCAGAGAGGGGCGGGAGGACGGGCAGAGGACCAGAGGGCACGCGACACGCATACATCCACCCTGTGCTGCCTGCGTGTTGTGTTGATGCTCGCATGCATGCATGCATCGGGTGGTGCAGGGTGTGGGCGGCGATGACGCGCAGCTGAGTTTCAACGAGTTCTTCGATAAGGTGTGTTTGCCCTTTGACTATCACGAGCAACACAACATCGGGTCCTTCTTTCTTTGTTTAGATGACGGCCACGGCCAAGGAGCACGAGAAACTCGAGGAGATCATGAAGGCAAGAACGAATCAATGACCACACACCACACCGCACAGGCACTCACACAGACACACACACACACACTTGATGGATAGATGGATGGATACCTCTGTAGGTGAGGCGTGCACTCCACGTGTGTGGGTGTGTGTGTATGTGCGGTCAGATCTTCATGTTGTTCGACGAGGACCGCACGGGCACCATCAGCGTTGCCAACATTGAGAAGGTCGCCCTCCAACTGGGAGAGAAACTCGACAAGAGCCAACTAGAGGTGGGTGGGGGCCGGTATGTATGAGTGTATGTATGTGTTGATGTTATGCCCCACTGATGGATGCCCCACTTGCTGTCCGTGTGTGTGCTGTGTCGTGTTGTATTGTATAGGACATGGTGAAGCTGATTGACAGTGACGGCGACGGAGAGATCAGCCCCGAGGACTTCTATCTCGTGCTCACTAGGGGTCAGCGGCCACACACACACACACAGACACATCACACCTGAATCCATCCATCCATCCATCAAGGCATCCATCAAGGCATCCATCCATCCATCCAGAGAGAGAGAAACTTTCATCCAGATCCATGGCTGGCTGGCTGTGTGTTTGGTTTGAATGCCTGCAGGCGCGGAGGCCAAACGCAGGAAACAGCAGCAGCAGCGCCAGGGATAGATAGATAGATCAATGGATAGATGTACGGCCAAGCTGGGTAGGTGTCTGTGTGGGGTGTGTGTCGGGCGGGAGCATGGGGGCTGGCTCTGGGATTTGGCGGATACATGAGCAAACCTTCTTGTGTTCACCGACAACGGGGCGAGGGGATACAGCTATATATATGTCTGTCTCTCGTCTCCCTCCCTCTCCCTCTCTCTCGGCTGTGTGCATATGCGTGTCCGCTTGTATGCATATACATATTCTCATCTGCTGCTTGATTGACTTGGATTGCGCATCACAGTCAAATCAAAAAAGGAGGCGTTCGTATACATAAGTCACGTGTTACAGCAGCTGCCAAACGTTAATCCCCCTCACGCACAAATAGACAAACACAATCAACACACACCCATTCAGTCAACCACACACATACAGGTCGCACAGACTGTCATTGGTGATGCCATCAGGCCCTCCAGCTTATCTCCTCTATCAGACACTCCACATGGCCCACCCACCGATTGACAGTTCCTTGCTCACCTCACTGTCAGATGTACCTTTCTGGACAAGTGGTGGGTGTGTTGCAATAGCACGTGTGCTCACTCTCCATACAGCCGTGGGCCTCAGAGCGTAACGATGAGCCGGCGGGCCTCCTTCTCACGCACATGCTTGATCTCATCGAGGCAGGCTGCGCACGGCCTGCCTCGATGAGATCAGGTGTTTGTGTTAGAAGGAGGCCCGCCGCCACTTGATCGAACCTCACCCTCATCCGACAGACAGACGGCAACCGCCGCACCACACCAGGCAGCGATTCACTTGTGCAGCCAGCCAGCCAATCATCCCTCTGTCTGTCTGTCTGTCTGTCTGTCATCTCTCCCCCGCCCCCCACTCATCAGCCGACACACTCATGGCAGCTGACGGCTGACGAGTGAGAGAAGACCGACAGACACGCAAAACCCCACAATACAATACAATGCAACCAGCTCGCGACAGCAAGAGAGAGGCAGCCAGCCAGCCAGCCAGCCAGTCAGTCGTCGGCACATCGGCCGACATATCCCCCCCCACAAAAGCGCAGCGCCAGTCAGTCAGTTGTGATGGCCAGCGGGTCGTCACGCTGCCCACCAGCGCCATCGGCATCACCTCCCCAACAGACAGCACCCACCCATGCGACACAGACGGTTGTGTGTCCTCTCCTCTGTGTGGCACATCCATCCATCCATGTGTGTGGCTGCCTGCCTGCGGACCACTGCGGCATTCGACTGCAGTCGACGGCCACCGCCCCTCAGCTGCAGCAGTGTTTGCCGTTGGCTGACCGGCCGCACCCACACTCACTCCCTGACCGGCCGCACCCCACATCTCCAGCACAGCACAGGGCCAAGCAGCCGCCTTCCATCATGGCGGCGCACGAGGCCCCCCTTCCTCCCTCCCTCACCTGAGTGACTCGCCGCGTGCGCATCTGGGCCGCCGACCTCACCGGAGAGGCCAAAGTGGACGACTGACGACAGACTCGGCACAGGGCGGCCGGAGGGGGTTGGTGCCGCCAGCCGAAAGACGCCGAAGTGGACAGAGAAAACGACGCCTTCTCTCCAAGGCGATATCGGCTACCGCGGCGCGGCACGTTCAGCGGCAGCACGATCCGTCTGCGAGCTTAGCTGCAATGGCCCAGGAAAACTCCGTGGGTTGACTATTTTACCGAAGCGCACCGTAGCGCAGCGCAACAGCTTCATTCATGGGCGGGAGCGGAGGGTCGTGGCGGCTTCTGCTGCGCAAGGCGGGCGAAGCAGAAAGCGAATTCGAAGGACTCCAGTTCATCGACGCGGCCATCGAGCAGATCATCAACAAGACCACACAAAAGACCAAGTTCACAGGCAGGAACAAGGCCAGCCAGCCCGCACACGATGCCGTCAGCATCGCGCAACTCGCCGCTGAGTGCTCCTCGGCAGTGGGCGACGATGGCGGTGACGGCGAATTGCTGACTGTGGCGGACCTGCTGAATCGGCGGTGCGACATGTTGTTGAGCATGGATGCCCGTCAGAGCGCCAGGGAGAGCTGCAGCGTGGCCATATCTTTTGTCGAGGGCGTCAGGAAGGGCCGGGAGGGCGGTGCTCAGGACAGGAAGAATGACGAGCTGGACAGGCTGCTTGGTGAGACCGAAGAAGGCCCGACACCGCACTGTCGCTTGATTACATCCTGCGTCCATTTCTCCCTCGTGCGGTGTGTGTATGTGTGTGTGTGTGTGTGTATGTGCGCAGAGCGGCTCCAGAAGCAGTTGGTGTCCATCGACGTGGCGACGAATGGCGATGGAAAGGGCCAGCACACCGTCCCAGTGACCATCATTACAGGGTATCTCGGTTCTGGCAAGACCACCCTCGTCAACCACATACTGCGGAGCTCCGCTCACGGCCAGAGATACGCCGTCGTCGAAAACGAATTCGGAGAGGTCGGTGCAGAGAGAGAGACGATGGCCCCCAACGCCATCCCTGTCTGTCTGTCTGTCTGTCTGTCTGTGTGAGTGCGTGTCGTCAGGTGGGTGTTGACGAGGCGTTGCTCTTCCACCGGGAGGGGCCGAGTGAGTGCACAGACGACTCGCACGACCACCATGAGGGCGAACCCGATGCCGGCAGGGGTGTGACGGCGGATGAGGTGGTGCAGCTGGAGAACGGGTGCCTCTGCTGCTCTCTAAGAGGTAGGTCAGACAGACAGACAGACAGACATGGGAGCATACCAGACGTTTCCATGCGTGTGTTGCGTTGAAGATGATCTGGTTGTTGCTTTGCATCGGCTGTGTGCGGCCGCGGCCGAGCGGCACCAGCCGCTGGACCACATACTAATCGAAACGACAGGTGCACACACACACGTACACACACCTATATGGTATGGACAACCAACGAAACGGCACAGCAGGACAGGGGTCTTTGTGTCATGTTTGTGGATGCGATGCGCACAGGTCTTGCTGACCCCTCCCCGGTCGCGCAGACGTTTATCGCCGATCCCACTCTCGCCAAACAGATGCACCTGCAAGGTGGGCACCCAGCATTAGGTGCCGAACAGCAGCCAGCCAGTCACTGGGAAACAATACCATCTCAGCTGAGGTTGCTCTGCTGTTGTCGTGCCTGCCTTTCTGCAGGTGTGCTGACAGTTGTTGATTGCCGGACAATCCGAAGGAGGCTGGCCGGCGGCGCCAACGAGGCCCTCCAGCAGCTGCTCTTCGCCAACACCATCATACTCAACAAGACAGGTAGGATAGATCCACACGTGCAGTCCTCACAAACAGATGCCATTATATATGACTTTCTCTCTCCTCGATGCAGACCTCGTGAGCGAGTCGGTGCTGGCCACGGAAATCGAGTCGCGCGTGAGGGAGCTGAATCGCCATGCCGTCATAGTCCGTGCGCAGCACGCCGCTGTGGACATTGCCAACGTGCTGGGCTGCCGGCGGTTCTCCTTCGACCAGGCCACACAGCTGGATCCAACACTGCTTAGGTACGTGACAGACGTGTCTGTCTATGTGTGTGGATGTATGTATGTGTGTGCGGGTGTATGTATGTGTTCAGCGAGCCTGTTGATTTGCTGCCTCGGCATGATCCGTCGGTGTCCTCCGTCGTCATACAAGAGGATGGTGAGATACACACCTGACCTGGGTGAGGGCGGTGTGTGGGTTATGGGTTGTGTGTTCCATGATGCCTGCGCACAGGTGTGGTCGATCTCGCCCGTGCGCGCGCCTGGCTGACGGATGTGGTGCGGCCGTCCCCCACCTCCATGTGGGTCAACTCCACCATCTACCGAGTCAAGGGATTCATCTACACGCCACACACAGGTACACACCCTCCATCCATCCATCCACCATGTGTCACGTGTGTCCCTCCTTGCTTCGCTTCCATCCCATCAGGGGCTGCATCAATGTCTTGGGAGCGTCACATAGTCCACGGCGTGGACGACATGCTGACCATCACGCCGCAGCAGCCAGAGGGCTTGGGGCAGGCAGACGCGGATACATCGTCTGAGAGGGCGCCCACGAACCGCCTGGTGTTCATTGGGCGGCACATGGGGGCCCACAAGCTGCGGCTGCAGAGAGGCATGACCAGGTGTTTAGTCGACGACAGTGGGTGGACATTTATATAGGGCTGCATTTTTCTAGCTCTGGCAGTTCTCGAGCCCAAGGGGTGAGGGCTTGAGAATCGCAGGTGTGTGAGGGGTGCATGTCTGTCGAGTATGCCGACCATGCGATGAGTGTACACGCGCCGGGGTGTTAGCGATGAACGTACGTGCCAGGGGCGTGGCGTTGCACAGCGAGATGGATCCGTCACTGCTCTATGCTATGTGTGCTTGGCTGGAGGCCCGGCAAAGAGAAAGGACTTGCATGATGAATGTAATGTGCATACCATACAGCGGTGGGTGATGAGGGCGTGAGAATGTGAGATCGAGTGGTCGGTATGGATTTTAAGGAAGGACGCACCGCGGCAACGGGGGCGGCCATGCAACCTTGGCTCATACATACTTACGGGATGGTTGCATGACATGGTCGTTTCTGGAGCAGTGGGGTGGAGGAAGGGGACTCGCGTCTTGCGTCGTGCTAAAGATTCTTGGCGGCGTTTTGTTGCCGCTGTTACAGTGAGTGCATGCCCCAGCTGTTGGTTGGCGGTTGGGGAACACCGTGACTATTTGCTTTGGCTGTGCACGTCGCGACTGTCTACGGCGTGTATGTCTGTGAATGTCGATAGAGAGCCCCGTCTCAGATTTAACAGAGCGCAGGCAGTCACCATTATGAAACAGATGGACAAAACGTACGTCTCAACGACACACGATCTAAATCTGCGTCACACAAATAAACTGGATGACACAAACGACACTATCTCACACAAACGTGTTACACGGCCAGCTTTTGCCCCGTCACTTCCTCTATCTCCTTGAGCTCCCTGGCAGCCAGCACCCGCCGCCTTATCAACAGCCCCACGCCCACACACGCAGCTATAAGCGCCACCACGGTCAGGGAACCCACGAACCACACCCACCACGGCCAGCACCGCATCAGCCAGTAGCGAGGCCTTGTCTGGAGCCAGAAGGTCACGTACTCGTCCTTCACCGCTAGGATACCCGCGTAGAACACATCTGCAGCACACGCACAAAAAGGGAGGGAGGAAATGGGTGTGGGTGTGGGAGTGGGAGTGTGTCTCTGTCTGGGGTGCGTACATGCGTGTGTTATGTATCTTGCTGTCTCATATGAGATGTCCCGTGTCTTCTTCTCCAACTTGCTGAGTCGCCTCAAGTCGAAGTCAGCCATACTCTTGGGCTGCTCTTCCTCCTACACACACACGTCCCGTGTGCCCACAAACACACGTCTATGGACAGAGACATGGTTGCCGCATGTGCTCTGTGGCTGACCGACCTTGATGAATAGTGCGATGGGGTCTCCGCCCATGACGATGACCTCAGTGCAAAGCCCTGCGTCTTCTCGACGCGGAAGGCGATGGCCGTCAGCACCGACGCCATCTTCTGTACTTTGACACCGGAAGTTATCCGCTCAACCGCATTGGAACCCAACCTGGACCAGGACACAGACAATGCGGTTCGGTGGGTTGGTGGCGGTATGAGTGTGAGTGTGTGGTCGGTGGACCTACCTGCATATGTCAACGTGTTCGCCGGTTTGCGGGTCGTTTGGATCAAGGAAGTCGTTGGGCAGTATGGGCATGATCGACTGACCCAGCTCCTCAGGGGACGGATCGCCGCTCGACACGTGAGCCGGGTTGCTGCTGTACCCACCGTGTGTCATCATGCTGGTGGTGCTGTTGGTGGCTGCAGCGGTGCCCGTCCCTGCTGCTGTGGTTGTGTCGGGCATGTCGACGATGGCAATGTGCAGCGTGGCGGCGAATGCAGTCTTCTCGCGGTTCAACACCTTCACCGTGTACCTTCACGCACACAGACACAGGGGCGTGGAGTCTGGTGGGTGGGTGGATGTGTTCATACACACATTGTGGAGTCGATTGTGATTTGTAGGGAGGTCGGTTGGCCCTTGTTCCACGAGAAACGATCCTGACACAGACACAGACACAGACACACAAATGCAGAGAGACATGGCCACGTGCGCAGCGCACACAAAGGCTGAGCTGTGGTGAGCTCACCGCCCAGTTTGAGTAGTCCATCGTAAACACAGTCGGGACGCCTCTCCCCTTGCTGGCCAGCAAGTACACAAAATGGCCGCCCCCGGTCAGGCTGAGCACCAGCCGCCCACCCAACTCTGGCGTTCGCACACTGATGACCTACACGCAACCAATGGCATGGCGTGGCAGCAGGGTACACACATCATGACATGATGTGTGTGTGTGTGTGGTGCGAGAGACAGAGAGACAGACCTGGAAGGCTTGTGGCTGTATGTTGACTTGGACGTCTTGTGCGTACTGGTTGGCCTGTTGATCGAGTATGACGGCGGTCTCGGTGATCTCACATGCGCGGCCGGTGTGGCCCTCTTTGCAGTAGCACGTGCCCTTGCCGTACTCGTCTTACACACACTTGCCGTTGGCATCGCCGTTGCAATCATCTGCACACATACACTCAGCCATGGCAAAGACGGTCGGTTGTCGTGTTTGTGTGGCTGTAGGTACCAAGGCATGGAATGCGTCCCACTCCCTCGCCCTTCGGCAGGCACGTGACCTTGGCGCGCCAGACGAGTGCCCCGGAGGCATAGTTCTTGTTGTTCCATATGCCGATCATCGCACCCTCGTAGTTGATGCTGCACACACAAAGACAGAGGGAAGACGTGTGTCTAGATTGGTGTGTCTATTGGCCATGGGGCTTACACCATGGTGACGGAGTGGACCTTCTCGCTGTTGCGCCAACTGTCGTAGTCACTGCACAAACAAACACACAGCATTTGTCATCGTGTCCCCTTTCGATGTATGCGCTTTGTGCACCCACCGTGTTGTGAATTGTGACGGTGTGGGTGGGAACCTCCCCACCCGGCCGTGCAGGTAGGGATCACTGATGTCATTGTCGCGTGTCAGAGTGAATGTCAGCACCGCACGCGCACTGCATTCATTTGATGGATGCATCAAGACACAAATGTGTCGGCTGTTGATGCCCCATCCACGCGTATAGAGGTACCCGTTTTCGACAATGAGCAGCGGCCCTTTATGTGTGTGGCACTGCGGCAGGTATTGAGGGTCGAGTGTCAAGTACTCCCACGAACTGATGTGATGGACAAAGACACACACATGAGGTGCGATCGATCGGCATGATGACCTCTCTGTCTTTTTCTGTCTGGTTACCTTACCCTCTCGGCGTGTTGCCTTTGACTTCGGTCGCTGTGACGGTCCTCGGCATGTACTGTTTAATCACCTCCTGACAACTGTCGCCGCTGTACCCAGCATAGCACCTACACAGACACTCTCACATGTCTCCTTCACTTCGTCGGTGTGTCTCTCTCTGCGTGCATGGCTCACTCGCAGACGCCGTCCGTCTGGCATCGTCCATGTCCGCGGCAGTCATCCTTGCACGTCCGCTGCGAGCAGTCGACGCCCGTCCAGCCCGCCTCGCACTGGCAGTCGCCCTTAACGCACTGACCGTGCTTGCAGGACGGGATGCAGATGCCCGTCGTGAGGTCAATCGTCACGGCCGCCTCTTCGTTGCTGCACTCGGTGTTTCGTTCGTATATGGCGAGGTAGATGTGCGGCCCGTCGCGGAAGTCGACGATCGAGAACTCCTGCACTGCCTTGTCCTTGTCACTCGGCAACGAAACTGACACACGCGCAGGAGAGCCGGTAACCGAAGACATGTATTACTTTATGCATCGAATGAGTACACGTGAGGTGGTAGAACGATCGAGTGGGCAGGTCGACAGACGTCGTCATCGGCGGCTGCTTCCCCATGCCGCCGGCTGATGGCGGCGTCTTGTCGGACGGCGGCTCTGCGTCGTCGAAGCGCACATACATCAGCAGCTGATTCTTACCCGGACCACCACGGCGCACCTGGACATTCCCACACACATGCATAGGATGAAAGGCATACAGATTTTACTTGTGAATGTAGAGCTCACGCGAATGGCTCCGTTTGTGGTGGGTTCGACGAGGCAGTGGACATATGCGACGCACCACTTGTCGGTGCTGTCTGGGATGCGCATCGCCTCGTCCAGCTTGGCTATCACCTCTTCGTTCAAGGGAGCCTCTACCAAACGGAATGAGGACGGCGAACCCAGCCAGTCATGCTGAGACACACGCGCACATCTGCACGTCTGTTTGCCACTCCTCCATGTGTCTCGTGGGCTCACGATTGCGCAAGTGGGTCCGTGCCAGCCTTCGAAGCACTCGCACTGGCCCCTGTAGTTGCACTTGCCGTTGCCGCCACACGTCAACACATCATCGCAGGCCAGCGCTGGTGCCACCAGGACTGGGCGGCCAGACAATGCCTTGCGCTCACACGCAGAGCCCATATACCCAGGATGGCACACACACCTGTGAGGAATAAGCGGCGAGGGCGGGGTGAGCATGGCGGTCGCTCGGCTTACCGTGGTGGGTCAGCAGGGCAGCAGACACCGTTGCCGGAGCACTCTCGGTTGTTCGGCCCCACTGGACACATCTGAGGCATCTTCGGACACTGCACGTACGTCGGCGGACACAGCACGGTGCCCTGAGACACACAGAGAGAGGCAAAGAGAGACAGACATACACGGGGGTGCTTAAATGTTCGTGTGTTTGTATGGTATGTACAGAGTATCCTCCGCCGTCGACGTTGATCTTTCCGCCCTGCTCTGGGCATTTGAATTTCTCCTTCTGCTGGTCGCTGCCCTTGCCAATCAGCACATACAGCTCCATCTTCCCTGTCGATGGATTCAACTCACACCTGTACCCACACACGTACCCACACACACAACATCCTCTCCTGTTGTCTGTCTTCCTCCCTTGATTACTTTTGTCCGTGGCATCGGCCGCTTGCCGTTGGCGCCTGGTACTTCTTGGATATCACCGTGCTGACCCAACACCTTCACACAAGCAGCATCAAGACCATAAAGAGCATTCATGTTGTGCCGCGCTCCTCACCGTGCATTCTCCCCGTATGTGTCGCCCCATATCTCCAGATTGGGGCCCTACACACACACACACACACACACACTCGCGCCGTCGTCGCGACGACACACAGTTGTGTGCCACATGCGTCTATACCGCATTTGCGGCCACTCGGCAGTCGCCCGAGCCATACGGACGGAAGAATGGACAGTAATCTGGCAAACACACAGGCAGACAATGATCGATGTCTCACTCCGTTCCTTCCCATGTGTGCACCTGCGTAGCTGTCGGTTCCTCCCCGTTTCGGGTCTTCGAAGTACGAGTACTCGACGGGCAGCGGCTTGGTGAACGACGTGATGCTGCACTGAGCGCGGTAGTAGCGGTCGTGGGAACAGCCTTGCTGAGTGAGCGATTGATTCGTCAACACACGCATCGTTTTGTCCGTGTGTGTCCATAACTGTCCGTGTCTGTGTGTGTGTACCTCTCCTTTTGCGCTGCAGAAGTACCGATGTGACCAGGTGTTGCACCGCTGCACCACGAACTCGCACCCCTCCTTCGACCCCCACTGCAAACGCTCAGCACGCGAGTAGTCGGGCTTGTACCTGCACACACACACATACACCGCAGCCTTTGTCTCTCCCTCCACCTCTCTCTCTCCCTCCCTCCCTCTCTCTCTCT